TATTTCAATGACCTTATGATCTTCCCATTACTTGTATTAATGAATTTTTTGTTGCAACTATCATCATCTAACACACATTTTATAAAATTCTTCTACTGTGTACACGCAAGCTAAAAGTCTGAGGGCATTTGTAAGAAATTTATACTTTCCCTTAGAGATTCATTCTTCCCCTTTTCTGTAGTTTATTCAGATACAGATGTAAAAGTAGGATGACTTGAAATTATATTCACGTTGGTATTCATCAGTCCTCAGATTAGTATGTTTTAGAATAGAAGTTCCACATTACAATTTTCTCCTTAGAATACTTGTAGTCCTTGGAAATTCTCATGATTATAACATGTAAGTATCACGTGTAGCCAGAGTATGTAATAAATAGGAACAAATAATCAAAATTCTGCTTGTAGCCGGGGATTTAGCTCGGTGGTTTCACCACCTGCTGCGCAGGCGCAAGGACCCGAGTTTGATCCCCGGTACCAAAAAAAAAAAAAAAAAAAAAATTCGCTTGTAAAGTGCTTAAAACACTGCTGACATCCAACCTTAACTGTTCCCTATTTTTCATCTTTTTCATCAGACTTCTCTGTAGAAAATTGAGTGCTCTGTCACAGAAGTGCCCAAAGTGCCCAAGTTATACACAAGAGGCTTCATGAGACTGGGAACCAGACTGCTATTCTTGCCTCAGTCCTATTAAAAAATTGCATATGGGATTGAGAATGAGCAGGGAAACTCAATTAACTTCCCTGGACCTTTTCTTTTTCTGTTTGAGTTCTTAAAATATGAGGGATTGAAATAGATGGTTTTTAAACTTGCCTCTGACCCCTGGAAAAAATACCCTTTTGTCCTAACATAAAAATATTTAACAGACATCACTACACTACTGAGTAATTCTATTCTAGTTCATCTAGGCTGCTATACCAAAATATCATAAACTTAGTAGCTTATAATCAACAGAAATTTTATTTCCTAGGTCAGGAGGCTGGGGATCTAAATCAACTCCCTGGAAAATATGGTGTCTAGTGAGGGCCACTGTCTTTAGAGAAATAATCTTCTTCCAACCTCAGCTGCCAGAAGAGGGAAGGGATCTCCCTAGCTATTTTTTGTAAGGTTACTAATCTCTCTATGAGGGTCCTGACCTCACCAAATATCACCTCACAAAGGCCTTACCCACCACTACATACCATCCCCTTGGAGGTGAGAGTCTCAATGTACAGATTTTGAACAGACAAAAACATATTATTAGTTATGCTATATATTTATTATACATAAAATTATAAACATAGAGGGAGACAATTTGTACACCTATTTTTGTGAGATGAATGCGGTTTGTCCCTGAAAACTGATGATAAAATTTAATCCCCATTGTGACAAAAAGGGTGGAAATCTAACATAAATAGGGTTTTTAGGGATGTAACACTTGGGAAGTGATAAAAGGCATCAGGGTGGATCCCCATGATTGAACCCTGGTGGCTTTATCAGAAGACAGAGTAACCAAAGTAACACACGATCACTTTTCTTGCACGCGATGCCTGCACTGCCTTTGGTGTCTGCCAGCCCAGAGCCCATTGCCACATGAGGCTCCAGGCCTTGCACCTCTAGAACCATGAGCCAAAATAAACTTCCTGCCTTTATAACTTACACAATCTGTCATCATTATCAGCAACAACTACAATCGCCATCTAAAGCAATAAAAACATAATACAGAGTCCCATCTCAGCCACTAATAATGAGGAGAATAATGGAATCTGAGGAACCTGAAACGTTCTAGTCCCCAGCTTCTTCCTTCATGACCCAATAATTCTGAACTCCTATTTCTAAGTGGAAGTCTACCCCTTGTTATCTTGAAGTTTTTTTTAATCTCTTATTTGGAATATCTTGATTATACATGATGATTTCCAACCTTGGTACATATAAAGGTAGAATTTTGCAGTTTTAGCCAGTAGGGGGGACAACATAACAAAAACTAATTGGAAAAATCTTAATCTGTTTAGGATACAATCACAAAATACCATAAACTGGGTAGTTTATAAACAACAGAAACTTATTTCTCACAGTTCTGGAGGATGAGAAGTCCAAGATCAATACACTCACTGGTAGATTCAGTGTCTGGTCTGTGCTTGTTTCCTGGTTCACAGATGGACTCTTCGCACTGTGTCTTCACAGGGTAGAAGGGGAAGCGATGCAATGCTTGAAGACTTTTATTCCGGTACTCATCCCATTTATGAGGGCTGTGCCCCCCCAGGAGTCACTTTCCAACCCCACCTCTAACAACCACACATTGGTGATTAGGTTTTCAACATATGAATTATGGGGGAACATAAATATTCACACCATAGCTGGCAGAATGATGGAGGGGATACAAATAGGTTTTGGTAGGTCCTTAGTGTAAATGTGAGAACCACAGAGAATGTTGTGGTATGTATCATTCAAAGACAGTGATCAATTTTCTACCATGCAAGAACATAAAGGGTTAGGTGCCCCTTCCTCCTCCTATGTAGGAAAGACACCCTGTGTTTTTGAATCATTAATTGATAAACCTATCCACTTGAATGACTTCTAGTTTTAATGCCTGTCACAGGTATTAACATATGAGCTTTTATCTTGAATAGACATATGTGATGTATACACAGTATGATTTGCCATTTCTTATCCTTGCAGATATTTCAAGATTGTAGAAGTTATTAATTCATTCTAGAGTTGAAAGGGAACATAGAAGTTAGCTTTTTTACCTGCTATCAAATATAGATGCTTCCCCTCCACCAATCATGCCAGATGATACTACATTTTCAGGCTGAGTCACTATCCATAGTCTGTATCTTTTATAGGGAGCCATTCAGTTTTCCTGGTTCACAGTTCATGTGACCTAGACATTTCCTCATAAATTTCACTCAGAAGTTTTCCTACAATTTTCAAACATTGATCTTACTTTTGAGACATTAATTCCTATCACCTAGGCCAACGTAGTTATCACAATTTCAACAACAGTAACAACAGAAAACTCTAAGGTTAGCTCTCCTCTTTGCCATTTCTCATGATTCTAGATTGTTCTACATTTATGCCAGCCTCTTCAGTTATTCTCCCCATTAAAACCCAGAAAAAAATGAGCCAGGCCTTTTTCCTTTTGATCAATGCATCTTTTCATAAGCCCAAAATCTCACTTGATGACTGTACTTTTCTTAATATACAGATTCATATATATTTTTAGTCAATTACAATGAAAGTAATGGCTCACACTGAGTTTGAGTAAAATAAAAGCTTAGAAATCCTAAGCCAGAGTTTTCCTATATTATCACTTAGTTAATTTGTAAAATACAACAATATATTTTAGAATTATCTCAATTATATTTTATAGTGTTGTTTGGATAAAAATGAAAGATTTTTCATAATATCTTTAAAAATCTTTATTATATCATTTAAAATATTAGATTCTGTAATTTTGTCATTAAAATTAGATAAAATTAGCTATGAATATAGTATTATCCAAAGCCCATAATAATATTGAATAAAATAAATTTGTTTAATGCTTAAATCTAGACAATCAGCATAGCCAAATATTATGGTTTTTCTTTTTGTAGTGAAAATACTTAATATTCACCATGAGAAATTCTCAAGAGCAAAATATATCACTATTAGCTACATTTAACCATTCTACAATATATACGTTCTTTGATACATCACGCTGTCCTTGACAAATGCATATTATTTCATGTGAATTAAAAAATAAATAAAAATTCATATAATTTTAAAAACGTTAACATTTATGTTATATGTAATGCACCACAAATATACATGTATTATATATATATATATATATATATATTTTAATTTAGAAAAGCAGAAGTCCAAAACTCCACACCAAAGGCATTTATTGAATTTGGCAGAGGAATCAGCTGTGAGACACAAAAAAATGTTATCCTGTAGCCTGAATTCCTTCATATTCTAGCAAGAAAATAGTGAGTATCCTTTTTCTCCCCCAAATACCTTACTGAAATACAGATACACCCTCTAACATTTTAATCAACTACTGAAATGAAGACATGAATATTGACACATTGTTTAAATCTATGACAAATCTGGGAAAAAAGATTTAACACCCTGAAAGATGGTATCAAGATTTAGTAAGACTGAGTGATATTGACAACTTCTGGTGCCTTGCAATTCGCCACTGATTAATTGGAGGGGAATTTAAAGCCACAATTATTTATTCATTATATAAAACTGCCTAATACATTTAGTATTTGTGATTTTTTAAAACATACTGGCCACTGTGCTGTTGCTAATAATAAAAACCTTAAAACTCCAAAAATATTTTTATCTTTTCTATTTAAACAAAATTAATATGGTTTGGAAATACAGAGTGCCAATTCCTTAAAGCTGAATTTCTCAGGATTCTTTTTCATTTGCATAAATGTATAAAACATAAATATTCAAGGTTTCTGAAGAACAGCAGTCCAAATATATCTATTAATGATTCATCAGTATCTGTTAAGAATATACTTTCCTATAACTGCTGCACTTAGCACCTATCTTTGAGAATCACTTATCATACCAATTTAGATATTTCTTGAAATTTTTTCTACTTACTCTCTTAAAAACAATTCTCTTTCCCTAATTGTGACACTAATTGAACACTATTTGAAATAATTCAGCAAGATAAGCTTATTAAAGTGAATCTACCAAATATTTTTATGGAGGTATTTTCTTTTCAAGATTTAAACTGAAATTTCATCAGAAGCTATTACATCAGTTTCATATGCTCGGTAAGAGCTAAATGAAAGATAAATACAATTTACTATGATATGTACCCTGAAATAAGGAATATGAATGTAATAGTAGCTCTCTCCTGTCACTGGATCAAAATGAACGAGAAAGAATCTCCATGACTTTCACAACTTATTAGGAAACACCCTGCTGTGCTCAAGCCGCATGAAGAAAACACCATTACCAGCTTATGAGACTTGATCATATGACATATTTGAAGGACAGTCAAGTGCTGAGAATCTTACGTTCTTGAAAGGATGTGAAGAGCATCTGAAATCGGCTGTTTCGACTGCCCTCGTCTGCCCACATGCGGATCACCCCAAGACCTGTGCGGAGCATCACATCATTAGCCACAGTGCTACAGAACTTAGCTTTCAAATCTTCCACAGAACTGCTTCCATCATACACAGCCACAAAATTCCTTTTGCATTCATTGGAATTCTGCATCTCATAGTCCAAGAATCGTAAGTATATCTGTAAAATAAAGATAAAATAATTTCCCCTTTCAAAATATGATTATGGAGCAGAAAGTAGCAGAGAGATCTTCCTTTCTCATTTTGAATCTCACAAGACAGTGTTGATTGCAATCAACCTTATTATTTTTCACTCTGGATAGAAGGAAGCTGTATAAATAAAAAATATTGTTTAATGTATTTTGGCAAATGTTATTATCCTCTTTACTTATATACACCATTTTCTTTAGCTGCGTATTTTGGTTTAAATGATTCTTGTATCTTCCCTTAACTTATTTGGAATTAGTTATTAGTTTTACAAGCTTACACACTGTTTACGTTGGTTAGAAAAAAATCTTTCAAATGTCTATAATAAATTCTTTTAAATTCCATGGATTTTATTTTCAAAAATGTATGGAAAAAAATCATTTGTATTAATACCAAAGGAAAATAAAAACTATCAAAAGACAGTCTCTAACTTCAGTTTGCTTAAATTTTTGAACATAACTACACTATTTAATTTTTAAAGAGGGGCACATTAAAAACTTTTAAAAGACAAAGCAAATCTATAATCATTCTTACCAGAATTACAGTCAAGCCATTTCCCTTAAATCCACATAAACACAAGTTAACATTTAATAAGTAAAAAGTACTACGCAGGTTAAATTCTGTGTTATTTTTTTAAATTCCCAATAATTTTATAATTTTTTATGCTGTTGTAGTCAGATGCGGAAGCTCAGACTCAGAAGGAATAAGCTAGAAATTAGACATGAGGCCTTCCTAATGCCCTAGACCACAATCCTTCCACAATGTCAACCTGCTTCCAACACTCTGATTATTGACCAACAGGCATTGTTTGACTCTGTACCAATGTGTATTCAGAATCATAAGCCATCAATTCAATAAGAGATGTCTATAAAGACATTTGTTCATTCATTAAACAATTTAGCAGTATTCACAACTTGGCCTTTTACTCAGTCATGGGCACATGTCATGGCATTATAGACATAATGGTGAACAACAGAATGAAAATCACTGTTGAAAATAGGCATCAACTAAATCCTGATACCAAGATATTATGTCAAGCTGTGGGCATTATATCAAGAAAAGAAAAAAGAATAAAAGCCTAGGCACTGTCAGAGGGAAATCTAGAATGGTTCTGGAATAACTAAAGGGTACCTTTCACACAGGTTATTTCTAAATGTTCAGCTTTATTTTTAACATGCATGCCTACAGGCTATTTCTTCTTAGATTCATATCTCTTTATGTAACATGGATTTAAAATAAAGATATCCATTCAATTATCCATTCATTTTTCAACTCTTTATATGCATTTTTTTCTTATTTCATATACTACAAATCTCATGAGAAAACTTTTTCCAAGATCTGGAATGTCTACCCCAAATTTAAAATTTCACTATTTCCATTATCTTTAGCCTTCACAATGTTCATAGTGAATTAGGTACTAATCTCTGTTCACTTCACCTTCAAAAGAGTTGTTTTCCATGTCCACTCACACTTAATGACATTTCAACCATCTCCTAACTAGCCTTGATGTTTATGAAGTATAGACTCCCCAGTCCACCTCACAAGCCCAGCCCAGAAGTTAAAAAATAAACCCAGCTCAATCAATGTTAGGTTTCTAAGGAACAAATCTAATAATCACACTCTTTTAATCAAAATTGTTAATTGGCATGTAATTTAAAAATGATAGGCAAAGGGCCCGGGATTTAGCTCAGTGGTTTCAGCGCCCTCCTTGAGAACCCAAGGTCCTGAGTTCGATCCCTGGTACCAAACAAACAAACAAAAATCATAGACGGGCATATATACCTTCTTATAGAAAAAAACACACACTTATTTTGAAAAATGTAATCCTTTATGCCCATGACCTTAGACATGACATCCTCTCTGTTCAGTTTTCTGATTTGTCAAGGTCTCAGTCAATTGTTGGATGCCAATAAAGAATTTCCCACTTCTCCCACACCTCAATCCTAGCAGAAGTTTTCTTTTCATTTTTTTATGCTAAATTATGATTCTGAACATATTTTGAGCTGTTATTCAGGTGGTTCATCACTTTTATTAACTTGTTCTTCTGAACAGTTGGGGTAGTGGTCCATAGATTCACATTCTAAGCATTAAACCATGTTTTACATGTAGCAAGCATTCCATAAAAGTTTGGGAATGGATATACTTGTGAACAACTAGTTAGAAAATCTTTCTTTATTAATTCATTTTTTGTATTTGTCAAATATTTATTGGACATCTACATGCCAGACATTATGGTGCTATAGATAATAATAATTACATAGAATAGCCATTTTCTTATTTATAGGAGAATATTATTGGAAGTAATTCTTGATGATAAAGTGCAGGACTAAGGTATGAAGCAAAAGTACATGACAATATGTTGTGGACTTGTAAAAGCTGAAAATGAAATGTGATGTCAAAAGTGAAGTACTCCTGATATAACATTGGGAAGAAAAATAACAGAAATAGGAAAAAAGTGAATGAAGTTGAGCAACAGTGGAAAACAGTAGAATTTTATTATGCTTTGCCTGGTAACAAAGGTTTCATACACAGGCAATCTGCAGCATTCAGTTGTAAGCTATCCTAAAATTTCCAGTTACTTAGATGATGATTTTAAGTTAACTGCCATGGATATAGTCTCCTGAAACATTCACTCCAAGAAAGCCCGCATGGTCCTCCTGCCCAGGTAATTGCTTTATTATATTCAACCAAAGTCTCAAATATTACCCACATAGTCCATCTGTGATCTGCTCTTCCCAACACAATACTAAGTTGCTGAAATTATACTGAGAATTCCAGAAATAACCAATTTAAGAAAGCATGTATCTGAAAAACATTATATCTTCCATATCTTTGGCAGTTACTCTATTTTGTTTTTCAAATACTCAAACAATTTATCTAAAAAGAAGTGGGTTTTCAGATGACCTTATGAGAACTCTGGAACAAAGAAGACAAAATAACTTGCTCAAGAAAAGTAAGCAAATTGATAGAAGAGCCTTAAATAGGATTAAAATTCTCAACTCTGGTCTTATGTTCTTTTCACCACATGACTCTACCCTCCTGACCAAAGCAAACAAACTGAAAATAGTATAAAAATACAAACTAAAATGTTGGTACAGTTTGACAAACTTGTAAAGTGCAACAAAAAGTTAAACATATTCTAAAACATAGTTTTTCAGCTCTCAAAATAATATACAGTTTAAATTGACATTATACAAATTTACTAATAGGAGAAATAAACATGAGGGTAAATGCCACAGTATATTCCACTATTAGAAGTGTAACGCACAAAAAACTCCTCATTCCAATAGTTTTACAATGATTTAAAAACCAAGTAATCTGCCCACAGAAGAAAAAATATGTGATTAATGTTTGATTACTTCAAGAAAGAAAAATAGTTGATCACCTGATGTTTATCTGGTGAAAGTAATTATTTCAAGTTTCTTACACTACATGCAGAAACATAATTTGAAATGCATAACCTATTATTAGGAAAAAAGTTGCTTGGTATATTGACAGTAACTTTTGGCCTTTCTAATGCATTATTTCATTCAGTTCTCTAATCAACAATGGACACTTGTTATAGTCATTTTAAGATGAAGAAAACTAAAACTTAGAAAAATTAAGAAACTTTTTCAAAGTGACGCAGACATATAAGCAATGAATTGGTACTGCAATCAGATGTACCTGATGTTTGGCTACTCATTGTCAAAATATGAAGCCTCACAGAAAACTTTTAAAAAATCCTCAATGACACTCTTCTAGAAAGAAAGCTACAATATTGAAGGAAATGAAACAAATTGTATCAAAATAACTAATCAAACAAAAAAAGCAAAGCCAACCACTTCTATTTCCTAGAGGGCCTAGGAAACATGTAGAGAATCTAGATGTAAAAGAAACTCATAGATTTTTAAATGTGTCCCTTTGAAATAAATGGCTGTCTTAAAGTTATTTAGAAATAGGATTACTTTATATATGAGTATTGTTACAGTTAGGAAGTCAACTTGCACGCTTTGTCATTTGACAGCTCTAAAGGGTCTGAGGTTTTCATGAGGTGATTATCTTGTATGTGAAGTAAAATGGCTGCTATTGGCATACCTTTTATATTTAAAAGATATTCTTATTAAATAAAATACTATTTATAGGGGAAGTGAACAATTATTATCAGTAAAGTTTATGTAATCAATTCTGAAGCATTTCACAATTTTTAACTTCAATTTTTATATCACATAGTAGAAGAAATAAAATATACCAGTAGAGAATTCTACTAGTGGGCCCAGAGCAGGCAGTGTACAACCTGAAATTTCATTACCCAGAAAAACTGATCAAGCTTTCTCTCATTAGCTCTATGTATGTCACATAAAAACTCTCTATGTATTATTATTGGAATAACCATTCATTAGCTTAAAACTTGTGCCACAATAATGCTAAGAGAAAGAATTATTTAAGGTAGTAAATGAGAAAATTTTTCAGTCCTTCTGCGTAACTCTAGCAAAATAGTCAGATTATAATCTCTTCTCAGTGAATCATTTTGATGTATACTTCCTTTTATTCAATCACAAAGAGTTGGAGCTGACAAGATGATTTATTGAGCAGGACATGGTAAACTTCAAAACATAAGCAATTTGTGGTGATTTCTGTTTTCCAAATCACAATAATGTGGAAGGCTGAATCCTTTATTATATGCAAAGTAAATAAATCTGGCTAACAATTTACTAGGTAATATTTTTACAAACAAAATTTAATACCAACTGCTCAATCTAATCCCTCCTCCCATGTTATGTGCAAAAAATAGATATTGAGGCAGTAACTGAAGACCTGCCAGATAGTTTTCTCCATAAGAATTCAATACACCACAGTGTGAGATGCTGCACATGATTTCAATATTTCTGGATTCTTTTATTAATAAAATCACAGACTAAAAAATATATAGCCCATTGTATGGGCTATGTATATTGTATGTATGTATATTGTGTTGCTATTTATATACATGTGTATACATACATGTATGTATATTGTGTTGCTACTTTACTGGTGACTGGACCTTTCAGGTTTATAATCTCAGGTAGGATATCACGTGAAATTTGGGGCTAGTAACATCCTCTTTATTTGGAAAAGAAAACTAGAATATCATGCTGTTTTCTGAAATCTTAAAATACACATACACACAACCATGAATCCTGGTATTATAATATTAAAATGATTTTCAGGTAGGAATAAAAAAATAACAAAACCTTTTAAGTCCATCTGAGCAGCCCTCTAAATTCTAACAGTAAAAAGAAAAATCTTTTGTTTATAAAAAAATTGAACCATAACATTTTCTTTGGTAGACATCTAGACAGTTAAAATTTTCACTTTATCTAATTTTATTCTCTTTTTGGAGATAAGGATAGGCTTAATCTTCAGAACCTTTAGTGCTTATCACTGTAATCAATTATAGTTATTACCCTTAGTCTATTGCTTTAGTTTTCCATTGCTCCATAACAAATTATCTCAAGTTTAGCAGCTTTAAGCAGCACCTATTTATTATCTCACAGGTCTACATTTTAGAAACACAAAACCCAGATTGGCTGCGTTCTTTGCTAGCTGGAAATCCAGTTTCTTGCAGTTGCAAGACTAAGGTCCTGATGGCTGCTTACCAGGGCTCACCTTTCCTACCAGCAGAGGTTGCCTGGTGCTCTGGTTCTCTGATTGCTCCTTTGATCACGGCTAGAGAAAAACTCTGCTTTTAACAGGCTCATCTGATTAGATTAGGCCAACCTTACCATATTCCTTTGGGTTAAATTCAACTGATTGGCAACCTTACTCAAGTCACAAAAACCTTTGTGAGGAAATTTAACAATCAGATGTCTGTTTTCTCAACTTCACAGTTCCAGGATTGGGATCTAGAAATCTCCGGTGTTTAAAATCCTGCCTTCAGAACTTATCACCATCATATAAGTAATTTTAGCACAACTATACCATAAAAGACTACTGAGTTAGTATATTAGTCAAGATTTATGTTTAACTGATTGTAATTTGACTCAAAATATTTTTGAATTAGGTAACAAATTAAAAGTTAGTTTTAAGTATTAAATGATGGGTAAATAATAAAAGCTCCAGTTTTATTCTCCCTAACCATTAATCACTAAATTACCTTCCTTGGTACAATTTTGAAAGTTTTTTAAATTTACCTCCTATCCTTTCTTACCAAACTTGATCATTTTCCAAAATAGTATGGTTTTATGATATCAAACTGGACCAGGAATCAGGAGATATTGATCTTGTTCCAGCTCTTTTGCTAACTAGCCAAATATTTGAGCAAGTCACTTATCATAGATTCATGGAATTTTGGTTTTGAGAGGACTTTCATATTATCTCTGCCAAGATCACTTGATATTTAATTGTTATGTAAAACCCCTGCCAAACTGCTTGGATTCCTCCTCTGGAATCTCATTTGAACTGCATTATTAAAACAAAAACCTTCCCTATATTAAATTGAAAGCTCTATCTTCCTCGTGTCAAAAATTCTAATAAATTACAGTATGTCTTATTCCTCTTTATATGACAGTCTCTCAAATGTCTGAAGATTGCTACAATGTCATTTCTTCTAGATATACATCAGGTTGGCTTTTCATGAGTTTTAATTGAACAGCAGATATGTTGGCTTGGCACTTGGTAGCTACAGACACCTAGGGTCCGGACATCATACAAGTATAGCTCATATCGTTATAGGATTCGTTCTCCTATCATTCCATTCTGGCTGCTCTTTTCTGGATTAAATTCAGAACTAGACATAAAAATAGCCTTCCACCACACTGCTCTAGAATCTGTATGCAAAATATATGCTCATAGAGTTATATTTCTTCATTACATGGTCAATCCACAGAGAATTCTATTTTTTTAGCTCAACTTATTCATCATTAATGAGATGCTCTATAACAGACATTCTATGTTCATTTAGGATCTTGTTATTCAAATTCTAGGAAACCTGTATTAATTACATTTTAATTAAAGCAGACCACCCATTATTTTTCTAAATAAAGGATATATCAGTATATTTTCTATTTATCAGAAGTTAAGAAACAACGTGTAATTTATATAAATTTTAATAGAGCTCAAGCTACTTAGCAGTTCCATTGTACAACATGGTTCAGTCCTGCCAGGTATTATTCAAATGTTCACCAAGAGCTATGTCAAATTTAACTTGTACTGTGATGGTTTGATCTCGTAAACTGCTGGCAACTCCATAAAAATAGAAAGCCCACATGGTCAGTAATACTTATCTCTTGCTTTTCTCCACAGCATTCAAAGCTACTTCCTGTCCTCTAACCTTTAATTCAGCAGAGAAAGCCTGTCACAATAGAGCCATCTTTGTTCAGCTCTGCAGGCAGCTTCCCCTTTGGGTCAGAGAATGCCAAATTCTATAATAGACAGGTACAGTCAGTATCATTGTTCTGGGGTTATACAAAAGACAGCCTATTTACCAGCTGGAAAATAGAGATGTGTATTCACACTCTCATAAAAACCTTCCACTTACCACTGAAGTGACAAGATGCTGGTTATGGTAGTAAGGTGCCATACACATATTCCCTGCTCACAAAATCTTTTTAAGAATCCTTCATTTATATAGGTTAGGAAGAATGGAAAGCACTTGCATGTCATTCCACAAATTATGTAGGGAAGCACACTAATATGAAATCTAGCTCTGTGATAATCCATGTAGATATTTATGGCTTTATGTTTCCAAAAGCTTTTAAGAAAAAAAAATTATTACGTTTCTCCATAATGCAATTAATATTCTCAAAGACTTGCTGTGATGCAAACAGACCTGCAAGTGTCACAGCTGGAAGCTGGATCACAGTCTCTGATCTCTGTAATCAGAAATGCATGTGCCACTCTCCCCTTAGACATGCAAACCCTAGAGGCAAATTTAAGGTAAAGGCAAAGGTGTTTCCTGAAGTGCCAGCTCCCTCAGAGATGACTCTTTCTCCTCAGCCTGAATATCCCTGTATCTGTCTTTCCCATTTCCTTCCCTGTCTACCAGCATAAGGGTCACACCACTGAGATCTCTGCCACAGCTCTGCTTCAGGCTCTGTTCTGCATTAACCTCCTTGTCCTTTCTTCCCAGGGAAGCACTATACTTTTGAAATGCAAATCCAGCCACATCATTTTCCTGCTTTGCTCTTTCATCTATCACTAATGGGTCTAGAATGAAGTCCAAGTTCTTTGGGGAGGCCCACAGAGTCCTTCAGCTTGATGACTCGCCACACCTTCAGAGTCCTGCTTGATAGGGTCACATGCTATTGCTTCCATTCCTGAAAAATGTGCTCTCTTATGATTCCCTGACACGCAGATGCTGTCCCTGTTCCCGGAGAGCCTTCCTCTACTGCCAACCTGATAAAATACTGTTTCTTAAGCAGATTCTGCCGAGGAGCTGGCTACACTTTGGTTCCATTTCTGATGACCCTGCTAAGTGTGCCTGTATTTTTCCTCACTCCATGTATTCTTATCAACACCTCAGCGATTTTATCCTATTGCTTGGACGCTTTTATTACATATTTGTCTAAGTATTAAGCTAAGAACCTGAGGACAGGGGCCAGCATAGTTTTTATTTCTCTATCATAGTACTTGACATTTTACAGAGCCACTAAAGAAATTAAGTAAATGTTTCAACCTCAGTAAAGTCTACTATGAATCTAATAAATCTGCAATGTTTTGTTGCAATTCTATAACTGAGGAATGAGAATAAAAGGAAAAGAAAAAGTAAATAATCAATACTTAACACCTCCAACAGCTACTGCCATAAATTACTCATCCTCAATGTTTCTTAAGTGAAATCCAAAGCTAGTATGAACATGTTTGCTCTAAAGAAGTGTTTCCTAAGTAGTTATCTGAGCCTGCATTTGCCTCATACTGTATTGTGTGATCCATACATTTCAAATTTTGTAGTGTATTACAGCATAAAATCAGGGTAATCAACATGAAGTATAGATTTTCAGTATTATGAAAATAATCAGAAGCGTTAGTAATGCTGACCACAAATTTTCCTATTATAATCCCAAGAAACTTTTCGCCGGCAGTTGCAAAGTGACCGTCTCCTTCAGATGGGTGCACTGTTTCCCAAATCCTCTTCCTGCGGCCCCTCCCCTTGTCTCATCAGAATTCTGTATTCCAGAGATACACGATTCTGTAATTCCTGGCCATTTCTTTCATAGATATGTTTTAGGTTAAAAAAATACTACAGACACTGATGAAAGGGCATAAATGTAATTAAGCTTATAACTTTTGCTCCTGCCTAACATTTCAACCTCTTTTGCCAAAAAAACATAGACCTGGTTTTAGAGTTTCTCAACTAGGTTATAAAATGATTTCTTCACCACGCTCTGCATATTGTAGTACATGGCACACAAAGTTAGACCAGACGGGGGAAGACAAGTTGCATTTCAAAACCAGAATAAAATGAGACCTTAGGATTGCACTCTGAGATGTCTGAGGCATGGCCAGACATTGCTTCAGAGCCATGTGCAATCTAGACTTTCCCAAGTCAACCCTCAGGCTGTTTCATCTTGAGACTCACCTTGGACCGTGGAGGGGCTCGGATGTACCACTTGCAATCCACAGCCTCACTGGCAGAGGCTTTGCCTTCCTTCAAAATTTGTACGGACTCCACAATTCCTTCTGGGCCACCCATCTCAAACTCACATGCTAAAGAACAAAATAGCAAACAATACACAAAAATGGAGCTGGAATAATAAACCAAAAGTATATTTTACAGCAGGAAACACACATCTCTGAACATTATTAAATATCTATGTTACCAACCTGGTAATGGTTTCAAAACTCCAAGGTCCTTAAAGTCAGGATCTTCAAAAATTGAGAAAAAAGACAATTAGTCCTAGTCTGCCTTTGTTATTTACAATGATGTTGAATAACATATCATCAAATTATCCAGGAATCATCCTAAGAAGCTCATTAAGGGAAAGAAAAATATACAATAAAAAGTGCTTGGAAATGTCAGAACAAAGTGTTACGTGACATAGTATCGCCACTCTTTTCTTCTCTATACAAAAAATAAGTATTAAAATCTTCCAATGCCTTTCCTGCATCTCATCATCAAACACAAATCTCATTCTTTACCTATAACTTCATATTGAGCAATCAATGTTTTTTTACAATGCATCCATAGGTAATTCAAGGTTTGAGTCAATTGGCCTGCATTTATAAGTTTACTGCCTTCGTGCATACATTTGGGTCTGTGTGTTCTATGTATAATTTTTTGTCTGACTCTAATGATTCTATAAATTGTCAAAACCACTTTTTGTCTGTAATATTGGAGGTACACAGTTAAGGAGTAAAATTTGGGGTTCCTCTCCTCTGGTGGATTGAACTGTCCTGTTTTCATGAAATTGTCATTTCGCACATGCTGGCTCTCACAGTTTTCCCCCACTTTCCTACTTTGTTAACTCAGCATTTACCCTTTCCTGCCTTCCTCTCAGTGGCTTCAATCGCAGGCCTCTCTCCTCTAATTACCGAAGCATTTCAGGGAACATGCATTTCACTGTGTGCAGCGGAAGGATCCCACCTGTTTTAAGCCCAAAATGGTGGTTTCATTACAGTATTGTGGAATTGATTTTACTTTGGGTATGCAGCTCCGGAAATAAAAAGGTGACCTGTAAAAGGATGTTTGAGAAAGTATTCTTCATACAGAGACAGGATATACACAGTTTTCTTGACTTTTTCCATGGTCCTGTTATTTTGGACACTTAGAAATCACATATAATGGTAATTATATGTAATATAATATACGGTAATAATGATGTCGAGAGACACTCTTGTGAGAAAATGCTAACTCGGATCATAAGCAGAATGGAAATGTGAAGCACTGTCAATTGTTTGTGATGTCATTGAGACACTGTGTTAACCTGTTTTGCACCTGCAATTCTCTGCTCTCTTTTCCTTTTTGAAACAATGTAGGTCATTATGGCCCCACTTTAAATTGGATTTCCTTTCCCACCTATGGGTGGGTAAAGGCATCAATGGCTATGATATATCATTGGATGTACATAGTATGCAATTTAAAAATGATTGTGAAACAAAAGGATATTACTATAGTATTAGCTATAAATTACAAGTCTTACAGAGTTAGAAATATTTTGTGAGACACTGTTCAGAAATGATCTAGGACTGTGGAATGAAAATAGAGCACTCTTTCTAGAGGGAGTTAGCTCCAGGTACTAAGACCATGTCAACTCATATGTATTACAAGTGTGCCTCTTTATGTGTCTGTGTACACAGATGCAATAATTGTGAAAACACAGGCTCAGTGTCTTATTTTCATTATCTTTGTGAAAGAGTGGCTTCTGTTATTGGCTTTTGTTTTGTCAAAGAGTGATGTGCACTAATTTGTCAATACTGAGCATTCTGGATCAGCCATGCTATAATCTACTTATACAACTGTATGTACTGTTTATTGTAGAACACTCTTAAGATAGATTCATAAGTTTTGAATCAAGAAATAAATTCCTATCAATAAATGTTTTGAAACAATTCTTTTACTTTTGAGGAAAAATAAAAGATAAATACCTACAAGGAATGTCCATTGAAAACACAGAAATGAGGACAGATATAAATAAAATTTGGACCAAGATACTTCTTAGTAGGAATTTCTCTCCATATAAATCAATGAGTATTTGATCACTGTTTCAAAAATGCAAGTTTAATAACTAATTGTGTATAAGAAAGAACTTTATGTGGTAACCCTTAAGCGTATTATTAGAATTAAAGAGACCACTCATATTTTCTTTTTTTTCTTCAGTACTGAGGATTGAGCTCAGGGCCTTTGGACTGGGTTATATCTCAAACATATTTTTAATTTTTGATACTGGGTCTTACTAAATCATTAAGTTGCTCATCCAAGGCTGAAACTTATGACCCTCCTGCCTCAGACCCCTGAATGCTGGGATTAAAGGAATGCAAAACCATATCTGGTTTGCTTATTTACACTGAGCTACAAGAAGAGCCCTCTTTTTTTGTTTTGAGATAGGGTCTTGGTAAACCACTAAATTTGTTTGCTCATCTCAAGTATTGAGATTTTTATTATTCACTGTTTCTTTACTATTTAGCCTACTGCTTAATTACATGTATTATTAATATTATCACTTTTTATTAGGATATTTTAGCTGTACATGGCTGTTCCTGTAATATTTTGTGGAAATGTAGTTGGCATTCTCTTGTTTAGTTTGGAAGCTAACAGTTGTCATTTTTATAACTCATGCCAGACAATTTTGCGAGAAATGCCAGTTATGGGAAATGAAAATTTATTTTTGTCTTTGTATTAATAGTGATAGTACGAGGACATAAAAAAAATTAGGGAAAAATGTTTTTACAATTTATTTATATTAACCACCAGTAATACCATAGTAATAGATGGCCATGTGACCTGCAGAAACAAAAATATTTTTGAAACAACTTAAATTGAATTTAAGTGTACAAAGTTTGATTGGTAGTCTGAGGTTATTTGGGGTCAATGACATAAATTACTATACAGATTATAATTAAGTTGGATTTAATAACTAGTACTGTAATCTCTAGATGTCTCCTCACATCTATTCTACACAAAACCACCTGAATAAATTTTTGAAAATACAAGTCAAATTATGGTACCCGCCTGGTTTTCCCTTGCTCTCAGAATGAGATTACAACTCTTTGAGCTCTTGTTCCTGACTGCCAAGCCCTATGGTGCTCAGCTTTGCTTTCTCCTTTGCATTCACATGGGTCCAGTTCTGCCTCAAAGACACTCAAGGCTGCTGCACGTGGAGCATTTTGAACTTGTTCTTTTACATGGCTACAATACTTTTCCTCCAGGTATTTGTGTAACTGGGTTTTTTCCCCATTCATCAGTTGCGAATGGCCTTTAAATCCTCTAAAGCACCACTGTCTCCGTTTTTTTCCCTCTCCCCTTACTGGTTCTTATTACAGTTTGCAATCATGTTATTATTATTTTTTTTTTACCTTTTACTAACCATTTATTCTCACCTTTCCTTAACAAAATCCACTCTATAAGGGACCTATATCTCTTGATCCCTTCTCTATTCAGGATGTATTGCACAGTAGGTGAAAAATAAATGTTACTGAATTAAACATAGTTCTCTGTATATAGAAAAACAGTTAAATTTACTCTGAGTTGATTTTCCTGTATATTTGATTTCCTGTATATTAAGCAAGACCTTTTACTCATACTTTTTCAATCCACAGGATTTCACAGTAAGTATATCACAGGGGACAGTGTATCAGAGGCCAGCCAGCACACAGCTACACTCTGTTGCCCAGCCTTCCTACACTTGCAATTGACCACATCACAGTTCTGGTAGATCAACTGAGGACAAAAGGGTGAAACTGCAGGTCAGGCTCATAAAAACTCCTAGAAAACAATCCATTCTTTCTAGCATGGTTAATTTTTAAAACAACACATGTATGTCAAAAATGAAAGACTTCATCAACTTCACTTCCCAGATGAATATGCAGAGCACAAAGAACCTCTTTCTTGACTCAAATTAGACTTTACAGGAGCAGGTAATCAATTATTTGAAATTGCTGCTATTTTAGATTTTTAAAAATATTATCACCACCCTTGTTTTCCTAACTTTAGAGCTATCCCTTTCATGGAATCTAAAGAGTAAACTATTTTCACTGTAATAGTAAAATACTATTTGTTCTATGGAACTTTTCTTTTCTCAAGAAAGCATGCATCTTTCACCATACACTAAACTAAAATCTAAGAGGATTAAAGATCTAAATATTAAAACAGAAACACTAAACTTGCTGGAAAATAAGTTAGGTAGAACTCTTGAAGACATTGGCATAGGAAAAGACTTTATGAACAAATCCTCAGTAGCATGGGAACTAGCACAAAGAGTCAACAACTGGGATCTCATCTTATTAAAAAGCTTCTGCACTGCAAGAGAAACCACCAACAGAGCTAACAGACAACCTACAATGTGGGAAAAAAATTTTACCAAGTGTTCCTCAGACAAAAGTCGACTATCTAGAATATATAAAAAACTAAAAAAAACCTCAGACCCCCCAAATATAAAGACCCAATTCAAAAATGGGCATCTGAAATGAACAGACATTTCTCAGACAAAGAAGTAAAGACAGCAAATAAACATATGCAAAAATGTTCAACATAACTTGTCATTGGAGAGATGCAGATGAAAACAACTCTGAGATTCCACCTCACCCCAGATAGAATGGCTGCTATCATGAAATCAACCAATAACAAATGTTGGCGGGGCTGTGGGGAGAAAGGAACCCTTCTCCATTGTTGGTGGGAGTGCAAACTGTTGCAACCACTGTGGAAATCAGTATGGAGATACCTCAAAGAACTAGGATTAGAAGTCTCATTTGACCCAGCTATTCCTCTGGTGGGTATCTTCCCAAAAGAATTAAAAGCATCATACCACAGTGATACATGCTCACCCATGTTTATAGTGGCACAGTTTGTAATAGCTAAAACTTGGAAACAAAAACAGCCCAATTGCCCATCAACTGGAGACTGGATTAAGAAGATGTGGTTTTTTTATAAAATGGAGTACTACCCAGCCATAAAGAACAAGAAACTAGAGACATTTATAGCTAAGTGGATGCACATTGAGGCCATACTCCTAAGTGAAATAAACAGGACACACGTGTAAATACCAGTTTCTCTGGTGTGAAAAACTAAAAGTGTAAATAAGGGTCAAAATGTATAATTGATATTGTGAAATAGGAAGAAAAGGTCTAAAGGAGTAAGGGAAGTGGGAGGTGTAGGGGAAAGGAAAGAAGGGAAAAGAAAAAATACGAGAAAAGAAAAAAAATGGAAACAA